TAGAAGTCTTGCTGTCAGTGTCAATGCAAATATTGGTCCTACACCCACCTTTAAGTATACCGATCGACTCAGAATCACATTTTGAGTCGATTAAGACATGTCCGTCCGTCCGTCTGTCCGGCTGGCTGTCCATGTAAACCTTGTGCGCAAGATACAGGCCGCAATTTTCAAGATAATTTAATGAAATTTGGACCAAGCATGTTTTTTGGCACAAGGACGAAGCCTATGGTTGAAATCGGTCCATTATTTCACCTAGCCCCCATACAACCGTACCTCCCGATTTGGGCTTTTTATGCTATAATTTCGTCAAATATACTATTATCTCTCTATAAATTGGCACAAATAAGTTTTATATAAGTATAAATGACACTGCAGATTTTCGTAATGATCGCCCCTTATTTAACCCTAGCCCCCATACAAATCCCCCTTCAAAAAATGTCTTAAACGTCTAAAATTAACTTGTAACCATTTGTATCGCAATGAAACTCAACATAATTAACTATTATTTAAAAATATAGCCTTTTCCCAAATTTAATGAGGATCGGCCCATGTTTGACTTATACTCCTATATAAAGCCTCATTTAGAAAATTTGGTTTTTAGCAATAAATTGCTTAAATACTTTGGAATTAAGGTAAAATTCAACATAAAAGTTTCTTTGTGAAAAATAAAAATTTTTAAAATATATTCATGGTGTAGGGTGTTATATGGTCGGCCATGCCCGACTATACTTTTCTACTTGTTTTTACGATACCTCTGAACCTAGCTTTAATACCCTAATTTGTTTATTATTTTCTTTGGAATTCGCCACACATCTGTTTTGGTTTTTATTCTCTCTCTCTCTTAACTTATATTTCCCACCCCACTACATGTTTTAAATGCCATATTAAATGTTGATATTTAGCCATAAATTTATTATAATACTTTGCCATATTAACAATATAAAAACATAATTTGTTTTTTTTTACACACTCGCACCTTAACGGCCACTATGAAAAGAGGTTAAAGCCCTTTTTGGCTTTTATTTTTTGTTGTTATTGTATGCAGTAGTTTTGAATTTAATATTTGCAAATATAAATTTTATTTGCAGTAACAAAAAAGTAAATTGTTTTGGTGGGGCTTCACTTAACTATTGTTATTATTTGTTGTTGTAGTTGGTATTGTGTTATTTATCTTTAAGATTGTACTTTTATTCAGTTACTTACTATATACATACTACAAGTGTAATTTATATGAGAAAACTGTAAAAAGAAAAATTAACACAATACGACGACTGACTTTCTTTCTTTAGGGAAAATTTTTAATATAATGAATTCTTTAGTTAAGTTATTTGGTATCATTCATCTATCATTCGATGGTGTGGTGATAGTATATGTTCATAATTATATTTGGGAAATTTAATAAAAAACGAATGTACCCGGGTTGCTTCGCTACCGAAAATCAATAAAAACATATGTTTTTGTTCTTTTAGGCAAATTTTTCAACTTTTTTAGTGAAAAAGGTAAGAAAGTGTTCCTTCGTATAGATTGTCACACTATAAGGAAACTAAATTTCCCGTTTTTCTCTATTTAAGTACTTTTCTACTCCCCCCCCTTGAATAGCGTTGTGGGAGCCCATGCTTTTTATGGACCAGCACTCAGGGTTTGATACCTACTCATGCAGTGCATTATGTAGGAACAAGGAAAATTGGTTATGGGAGGGAGGACAGAGGAAGATAGGTCAACATATGAACAGTGCAGCTAAAAAACGAGATCTGTAATGCGTTGTGAGATCCAATGAATCAATGGATCGATGTGTTCTTGGAAGAAGGGAGTTGAGTACAAATAACTCCGCGGGAACTAGTTCCCTAATTTCACAGGAACATATGCCATTATAATAACTATAGAACAGAATATCTACTACTGTCTCCGATAGGTAGTTTCGTCCTCTGTTGAAAGCGGTAAAATAGTTCCAAAATAGACTTTTAAAGCGCCGGTCTATACGTGAGAATTGTATCCCTTTTTTGATGGAATATATGTGATGTAAATAGAAGAGAAGATCAGATCACAATGAAGTATTTCTTAGATCGATTTAAAAAACCCAGGCACTTTAGCGCTTCTTTCGACACATGAAATATGCTTTAAGACCAGTGGATATCTCAATGAATTCTCCTGCTCAGAACATCAAGAACCTCTGATTCCTTAATATTAACACCACCCATAGATATAGAAAGAGCAACATGATCTGTTGTGGGTTTATACGCTTAAATATAACACGGTCGTTTACAAGACCCCATTCAGAGATTGTTGTTAGATCTGGAGTATCTAGGCGAATTATTCCTTATCCAATTTCCAAAAGGCTTGGCCTATAATTGAATGAATATACATATATGGCAAATGTTGCTGTCATCTACAAAAGAGTATAGATAGGGTTGGTTGGAAGTTATTTAGAAAAATGGGAAATAGAGTAGGTGAAAGAACGGAACCTAACGATATCGCTGAATTTAACTTGAACTTGTCTAATGAGATCCTATTTATAACAACTCGTATAGAGCGAGCCCTAAGAAAGCAATTAGTTTAGATAATAGTGGACCATGCTATAGCCTATCAAACGCCTTTGAAATATCTAGAGCCACTACTAGAGACCTACTACTACTAGTGGAGTGACCTATACGTTGGTCTCTGAATACTTAACTATGGAATTTGCAGAACAGTTTGCTATTGGGTGATAATTTTCAGGGTTATTGGCCTCTCTCTTTTTAGGAATTGGCGTTATACATATAAGCAATCTTTATAGATTGCTGAAAAGATTAAAAGAGCACTGCTTCAAGACCAATGCCGGAATGCTAGTGGTAGATTACTTTTCGGCGAGCATAAGCTAAAAGTTTAGCTTTATCAATCGGGTCGGTGAATGTTAGCTCAAACCCAAAAAAGAGTCGGAATCCTAAAAATCATATATTAACGATAATATGGTAATATAATTCAAAATTTCGAGAGGAGCAATATTTCAAATTAACTAATATCTGGTGTAGAGTGACATATGATCGATCACACCTGACTATATTTTCGTACAAGCTTCTCTTCTTTAATTCCTTCAATTTGAATAAATTTATTCGAAATGTAATTTTACGCACTTAAAGCACAATTTATTTTCTTAAAAACATTATAATTTTTTATAATAAAAATTATACTTTCAATGCTTTTTTAAATGAAAATGCAAAAAAAAACAAGTAAAAAATTATAGTCGGGCGTGGCCGACCATATGATACCCTACACCAGTTATGAATATTAAATGTAATTTATTTTTCATAATAAAGCATTTATCTTCAATATTCCCTTGTTCCGATACATTTAAGCAATTTATGGATGAAAAACTAATTTTCTGAAAGAGGCTTTATATGGGGGCTAGGGGCAAATATGGACCAAGCCCGATAAAATTTTGTGAATATATTTATATTGACATAATATTTTATTGTGCTGAATTTCATCGCGATATTTGTGTTTATAAGTTAATTTGGGACATTCAAGTAACTTTCTGAAGGGGACTTTGTATGGGAGCTAGGGTCAAATGTGGCCCGATCTTTATGAAATTTGGCAGGGTCATCAAGACTTCTATAAAATTTAGTTGTGCCGTATTTTATCGATATATCTGTATATTTAACATAATTATGAGCTCAGAAGCCCTTTTCGGGGGGTTCTGTTGTATGGGGGCTAGGTGAAATAATGGACCGATTTTAACCATTTTCAATAGGCTTCGTCCTTGGGTCAAATAAAACGTGCGTGCCAAATTTCATCCAATTATCTTGAAAATTGCGACCTGTACCTTGCGCACAAGGTTTACATGGACAGCCAGCCAGCCAGACGGACGGACGGACATAGCTTAATCGACTCAGAAAACGATTCTAAGCCGATTGGTATACTTTAAGGTTGGTCTAGGACGAATATTTTTGTATGTTACAAACATCAGCACAAATCCAATATACCCTCCCCACTAAAGTGGTGTAGGGTATAAACATGAAAGAAAAAAAAATTGATGTATTTTAATTGAAAATTATCTTCTCATGCATGATGGGAGCAGCACGTATGGAATGTTTAAGGTTTAAATCTTCTGAGCCAGTATATGTAAGCCGGTATAAACTTGAATTTTCCAAATAAAAAAAAACAAAAACATGATGAACAAGCGAGCGATTGAACGACTAACTGAATGAATGAATGAATCATAGAAAGTAATTGTATGGCATTCCATATATAAAAACAACTAAAATACAATTGTTGCGAGTACATTACGTGATGATCATAATGATCATTTAATAGCATTAATGACGTTTACATAAAAAGAGCAACAGCAAGCATAAAGAAAACAATTGTCGATATTCATTTGGTATAAAATGAAAGTTTAAAGAAAAGTGAATTAAAATTGTTGGAGATAAATTGAAATTGTTTTTTTTTTCTTATTTTCCAAATAGTTAAGGTAGGAAATGGCTGTCATAGTAAATCTAAAAACTAAAATAATATAAAAAAATTTTAAATTAATTAATTGTTATTTTCTATAAATGTAGTTCAAGTTTAACTTAATAAAAACAAACTGTAACTGTAACGAAAATGTTCATAGACAAAACTCTTGACCTAACCTTCACAGTAGACAACAAAAAATGTTCAACTGAATTATAGCTATTAAACATTTTTTTGGGAACTTATTTAAATAAACGAAACTTTTAATGTGAAAGATCATGTTAAGGTTAAATACCGCACTATATTATTAGTCAGCTCTATAAAAAATCTACATGAAAAACAATTCTCAATCTTTTGTTTGTCTTTAAGTACACATATAATACAATTGTATAGATTTCTCAAGTTTGTCATCTTGTTGTTTTGTTTCCCATTTGTATTCATGTTGTATGTATGTATCTTGACCTACGCAATGGCAATTAAATAAAATTCACTTAATTTAATTATTTCATTATTTAGTAATGTCTTAATGTTGTTGGTATTTTTCTCTTTGTTTCTTTTTTGTTCATTTGTAGTTAAATCCAAAAGAGCCCCAGCCAGTACCAGCTTTTTTGCCAGCACATTTAAATAATAAACCTATCTGTGACGATATAATACGCAAATTTTCACCCTCTAGACGTTTGGAATCGAGAGAATTAGCTAAACTTTTAGCACAACCACATTTTCGGGTAAGTGCGAAGAGATTGTTTCTATGAGATCATAGTGTTGGAATAGAATTATCAATTTAATATTTCTTTCTGCCTACATTTTATCTATCTATCTATCTATCTATCTATCTATCTATCTATCTATCTATCTATCTATCTATCTATCTATCTATCTATCTATCTATCTATCTATCTATCTATCTATCTATCTATCTATCTATCTATCTATCTATCTATCTATCTATCTATCTATCTATCTATCTATCTATCTATCTATCTATCTATCTATCTATCTATCTATCTATCTATCTATCTATCTATCTATCTATCTATCTATCTATCTATCTATCTATCTATCTATCTATCTATCTATCTATCTATCTATCTATCTATCTATCTATCTATCTATCTATCTATCTATCTATCTATCTATCTATCTATCTATCTATCTATCTATCTATCTATCTATCTATCTATCTATCTATCTATCTATCTATCTATCTATCTATCTATCTATCTATCTATCTATCTATCTATCTATCTATCTATCTATCTATCTATCTATCTATCTATCTATCTATCTATCTATCTATCTATCTATCTATCTATCTATCTATCTATCTATCTATCTATCTATCTATCTATCTATCTATCTATCTATCTATCTATCTATCTATCTATCTATCTATCTATCTATCTATCTATCTATCTATCTATCTATCTATCTATCTATCTATCTATCTATCTATCTATCTATCTATCTATCTATCTATCTATCTATCTATCTATCTATCTATCTATCTATCTATCTATCTATCTATCTATCTATCTATCTATCTATCTATCTATCTATCTATCTATCTATCTATCTATCTATCTATCTATCTATCTATCTATCTATCTATCTATCTATCTATCTATCTATCTATCTATCTATCTATCTATCTATCTATCTATCTATCTATCTATCTATCTATCTATCTATCTATCTATCTATCTATCTATCTATCTATCTATCTATCTATCTATCTATCTATCTATCTATCTATCTATCTATCTATCTATCTATCTATCTATCTATCTAATCTATCTATCTATCTATCTATCTATCTATAAACAATTAATAATATTTATATTCTTCTTACAGGCCCTCATTCGTGCCCATGATGAAATAGGTTATCTCTACGAAGCCCGTTTAAAAGCAGCCGGTGGTTCTCTCACAAAACTCGAAGCGATATCACAACGTAAAACTGGTGGCTATCTCTTTCCGACCGAACTGATAAACAATACAACGATGCCTGTGGAAACCATTAAAATGGTTGGATTGCGACGCATTCCAAATCAACCCTTAGGTTTAACCGTCGAAATTGACGAACACAAACAACTAGTAGTGGCACGTATAATGGCGGGTGGTGTAATCGATAACAAGGTTTACTAAATCCTGGCGATGTAATATTAGAAGTTAATGGAACTGCAGTACGTACCCCAGAGGATTTACAAGTTGAGGTGTCGCGTGCTAAGGAGAATTTAACATTAAAAATTGGTCCCAATATGGACGAGGAAATACGTTCCGCACGCTTAATAAGTGGCCAGGTAAAACAAAATGGTGTTGCTAAATTTGAGCCAGGCAAGAAAATGACGGTAAGTGGTGTTAGAGTTTGATGAGTTTTGATTGATTATTTTCTTTTTGTCAAGATCTATCTTATTTGGTGTATTTTGTTTAATTGGAATAAGATCTAAATGGAATTGGAAAAAAAAAACTTCCTCTGAGCAGGTTTTCCTTTATTAAAGTTCTAGCTTAAAAGCTTAAGAATCAGCTGATTATTTAAAATTTTGATCTTTAGATTAAAAATTATGCTGGATATTTGTTTTTTTCAGTTTTCATTTTCAAGAGTTTGTTGCTTATTTAATAGTTTGCATAATTTTCTAAATTGTAACTTTTTAACTAAATTATCGTTTTGAAAGCAGTCTACTTATTAAAAATTTACTACATAGGCAAATTTTCAAGTAGATAAATAGAATAACTTTTATCTATTCGCCTAACCGTTTGCTTATCTAAATGCATGTTTGAAACTTCTTTGATTTCTTTGATTTTTTAATTTACTTTTATTTTATATTGATTAATTATAAATTCTTTTATTGAAATGAAATTAATCAATTACTGTTAATAATTTGTCTAAAAATGAAGATCATTAAAGCAAAAACCAAATTGATAAGTAAGTAAAAATTGGGTATTGAAACAAAATTAAGAGTAAATTCTTGAAAATTAAAGTTTTTTATTAAACTATTTCAATTAAAATCGGTGTTGTATGGTCGTAAGTTTTGTTTTAAAAAAAAAAATTGTTTGAAACATTTTTATGACATACAA